TCAGACCCATTTGTAGGGGCGGCTCGTATCACCAGCCGCCCCTGATGTTTCATTTGTAGGGGCGGCTGGTCTCTGGCTCCCGAGCACGTCACTGTAGGGGCGGCTCCATCACCGGTCACCCCTACAAAAAATTTGTCCCGTTGCTACAAACCGTTTTTCACGTAGTGTCATAATAGTTGAGTGGAAACCCATAAATAAAGGGGTTGACTACCAACTATTGTTGATGTACTCTTACATTCATCTTGAGGTAAACTAATAGATTCAGAGCCAACTCTTTTCCCTTCTAACTTGTCAAATTAAAATTCATCTTATCAAACTTTTTATCTATGGATATCATCATGGATTTCTGAAAAGCATCGAGCATGGTTGCATACTCATCTCATGTAGGAGGGGGTTTTGCACTTATATCAATCTGTACCTTGGATGTAAATTTTGGTTTTAGGATCACTATAGCTGCTTGGTGATGTTATAGGAAGATTTGGTGAACATGTTATGGGAAGATACTTAGCCAAGGACATGATGATGTTCTTCCGACGAATGGATTGGTCGCATCATGCTTTGCCTCAGACATTGCAGCAAGTGATTTCTTTGATTAGATCCCCAGCAGAGTCATGAAAAAGTATGTTGACACAAAATGTGACCACACACCAAAACACTAGAATGCGAGGATCGCAAATCAACCGTGACACAACGATAAACAAGCTTGAGATGAAACTAGCAACTCCAAAGAGGTAAGCACAAGACAAAAACTCCAACATCGTCTAAAAACACTATTACTCGTGCAACTACTCCCGTCCCACTAAACATCTTTGAAGAAGCTTATGTCCCAGAGATGGGGCAATCTCAATGATCCTTCATCCTTATGCCACCATAGTTGGTTTCATTTGGTAGGAAATTAAAAATCAACAATATTGATTGATCTATATTGCATGCTTATGATTTCAATACAAAGTACCGAAACGAGTCTAGCCACGCTATTATCTGTGTAGACCATCTTGTTCATAAAAAGGAAACCTATATTATTGGTTTTATAATCTTCTAATGGTATGCATTGTTAAACAAATGGTTCCAAACATCATATATCATATATAAAAATAATTGAGTAAAAATATCTACATTGTTGATTGTTATCATCATCCACGTGTGTATATCACCTGAAGATTAATGGTTGGTTAAATTCTGAATATACAAAAATAAGAAAAAAATAGGAGTTTCATTTTAATGCAAATAGGGAAGCAACCACCCAGATAAAAAGGGCGTGTAAAATATATAATTCATAAATAGCTATTATGAATAAGATTGAAAAAAAATCTGAAATTTCAGTTATTATTTAGTTTGTGAACTTAAATACCTAAATAAAGAGTCTACATGAATTACAATAAGTTAATATCTAAACCAAAAATATAATAAAAATAATATTTGAACAGCCACTACAGTGACACCAAGAGTGACGACAACTCCACGAGCACTAATTGTTGGGGCTGGTATGGCTGATGTTATTTAATAAAACTAAAAAATACCCTGTGCGTTTGGAGGAATTACAAAGAATTTGGAATGAAATTAAGTAAAGATGATATGGATAACTTGCATTAAGATGTTGAAAGTTAGTGGGATAATATGGCAATTAGTGAAGATGATATAGACTGTATGATACTGGCTAGCTGTGCTAGCTATATATTTGCTTAGTCTATAATTACAAAGCACTGGCTTTTGAACATATATATATCCATGCGGCAAGGGACACGGGCAAGATATACTAATATACATACAAATTGTCGGTCGCAAATAGTTTTCATGCATTCTTGAGTCACACTGCCCCAGATTAGATCATCACTGCTGGGTCCAAACTTGATATTACTGCTAGATTTGGATCCGATAGTGAGAATCCCCCATCACTACCGGTCGTTCTTGACCCAACAGTGATAAGTGATAAACAAATTTGACCAGGCAATAATCATAGGTGATAGAAAATTAGAAAGTATGTATTTCCAGGATTCAAACTCAAAACTTAGATGTCCACATTCTCTCGAGTGTTCATACTAGCTGTGCTACGCAACACATTAGACTATACAACTCGATCATACTATTCTTTTAACTACACAATTTCAAATCTTATATTGTATATTTGACTCTCTAAACGTTGTGAAAAAATTGTTAACTGCAAAGTTGTTGATCTTATCAAGTACTATAACTTTGATGAACATTGTTAACCATCTCAAATTTGATTAGAGACCATGAATATTTAGATGTGTTAACTATCTTAAATTAAAAATTGTCAACTAAAAAGTTTTAGATTTCTTTTTCATATAAAGTTATCTTGATCCGACCTCATATGAAAAAAGATGAATTTTATTTTTGCAAAACAGCCTACCACTAACGGTTAAGCCACAAACGTAACCGACACGGATAGGTGGAGCATGAATCCACACGCCCACACGGCAAGAACCGACACCAGCGAGATATAGTGAGACAGAAATCAAGCCATGCGAATTGTCGGTCGCAAATAGTTCTGATGCATTCTCACGCGGTCACCAGCAGCACGATCCATTTTTGTCTCCCCCAGATAGATGCCTCGCAAGTTACGTAAATATTACTGTGATTCGTTTCGACCAACTTTCCATCGTGGATAACCATATCGATCATGATGACAATCTAGAGGAGGCTTGCAGTGTCGGGCCAGAAATTATTAGCATATTCGCTTGCTCGTAAACGATCGTAAATTTCCAGTCGGGAACAGTATTTTTCTCTCACATCAAACCAGCCAGCAGTAAATAATCCACGATACGATACGGTCTTCCGAACAGGCTGTATGTCTTACGCTGCAGTAGTACAGCTCCAAACTGTCGGTTAATCACGCGGTTTTCCCTCGGTATGCAATGTTCATGATCTCTTTTGTTTGACCGATCGTTTCAGGATCGGAGCCAGCAGATCCAAGAGAATCTCAAGTTTTATGCATGGTTTACGTCGCTGTGTTTGCAGATCCGTGTCAGTCGCGATACGTATTCTGAATTTCAGTTGTATTTTTTAAATTGTGTAATATATTCGTTGTCCCATCGAGAAGTGCATGCATTTAGTGTTGGTTTTTTCTAGGTTCGTGATTTAACCCTCAAACTGGGTCGCGCGCGCTCCATGCATCAATTGTTTTCTTTTTTTCAAATACAAGCCTCGTTAGCCCGTGTTTCGATAAGAGGAGGTTAAGTTTGTTACATGACGTAAATTATTCAGACTCTCCAGAGAACAACGATTTGCCTACTACAGTGAAGCTAAATGTATGCAAAACCACGTTTTACTTAGACAAGCCTAGCTCAGTATGTTGGTTAGGTTCCTTATGGTGGAACCTGCCTGCCTGGGTTTAAGTCCTCGATTTGGTATAGGTGCTCGTATTTTTCTGGATTTATTTCAGAATTTAACGGCGTTATGCTTTCAGTAGTATGCGACGTTCCCGTCAACAGCAAGGCGCCTGTGGTCGCCCGACTGCCGATCGAGAGGTCCGGCCACGACCTCTTGGCGAAGGTCAGCACCGTTTTTTCTTTGAGGGAGAACTCCCCACTCTTTATTCATGGAGTTGGTCATATGAATTACAAATGCCAACAGGTGGTTCTAACAGCCAGACATGTCTGTCTTAAAACAAAACATGCTTCTAGCTAAGTTGAGAGCATCAACATTGGACTTTCTACTCTCATGAGCAAAACCGACATAAAGAAAATCAAGCGCTCTGGCTTTGTGTCTTTCACAACTTGGCCATACGAGCACATTCCTGCTCCTCCAACATTTCTAATGGCATTGGCACTGTCGGAGGCCAACTGAAAAGACCTCCGCATTAGATCAGACCAAAGCTAAACCCTCCCCAAGCAGTCGCCTCGGCAGTTTCAACATCAGTGAGTCTGTCCATGACTACCCCCAACACACCCAGGAAGTTGCCGGCCTGGTCTCGTGCTATAGCTGCCATTGCTGTCTTCCCAAATTCTTAGAATTCATCAACGTTCAATTTCATACAGCCCGGGGGCGGCAGCGGCCACCTCAGTCTCCTTGCCTGAACTCGTCACTTGGGCCGGTTTCAAAGCTTGTAGTTCGGCAATGTAGTTGTTAACAAAAATATGTGTTGACAGCGGGCTTTGGAAAATATTATCATAGATAGCTTTCCTTATACATACCAATTTGCCCGCATTGTCACAACCACCCGTGTGAGGTCACCATGAGGCATTGTTTCGATCAAATTAGCCAACCATGCCTGGAATCTTCCTCCTGCAACTCACATACTTGTTCGACAATATCCTCACATTCCAATGCCCACACACATCTCGCCATGTTGCACTCAAGCAGAGAGTGTCTCAAGGAATCAGAAGCTCCACATAAAGCACACCTGCCATGATCCGCCATATTCCTATGGTGAAGCACGTCCATCGACAGCAATGAGTGCCTAGCAAGACGCCAGAGAAAAACTCGCAACTTTGAAGGGACTTTAACCTGCCACAAGGATGACCACTCCTCTTCATCTCTCCTATTGGATCTTGCAGCATTCTCCAACAGTACACTATCAGCTCGTGGCTTGAGTCAGAAGTAATATGTCACTGCCGGTTCGTGGCTTGAGCTGACGGTGATAGAGACCTTCACTACCAAGTCGTGCAAAGTCGGAATTACTTATATATAGGCTAGTCGTGCAAAGTCATCATTATCTTTTCGCGTAGGCATGAAGGACTAGTAGTCTAGTTTAACAAAGCCGTGATATAACAAGTGCTTGCAAAATAACTGTCAAGCAAATTGAACTTCTTCTTTCATTGATGAAAGCAACATTTAACATGAACATTTGGCTGATTGCAACCAACACATGGGTTACAAATCAATCATTGCCTCCTTATTACCAAGACTCAGAACTAATAACCAAAAACTATAGCCCACACATGGCTATATAGAGAGAGAAAAATAATGCCGTGGCGCTATGGAGCGAACATATGCATAATGCATAGTCCCAAGACCAAATTATTTCAAGCAAATGGACTTTAAGGTGTTGATCCGTTGTAGCTTCCATCATTATAACCTGATGTGGCGCCACCACTCCTCCCTGATCCGCCGCCAGAACCGCTGCCAAACCCACCATTACGGCCGCCTCCGCTCCCGCTTCCGGCGCCACCGCTATTTGCAAAGCTCGAGCCATAGGCATCATAGTTATCGTCTTCACCTTCCCCGACTCCCTTGCCACCACCAAATCCGCTACCATTCCCATTGCTTCCACCGGAGCCACCCCCGCTGCCAGCTCCATTCGCATTCGCTGCCCCATTGGTGTTGGAGTTACCTGAGTCACCATGGCCTTCACTAGATGCACCGCCCGCTCCGTAACCAGACGCGCACTCGTCCTCACCTTGCCAATCGCCACCACCTTCACCGGATCCACTACCATACGCGTGGCCAGAGCTCGGGGACTGGGCACTGCCGTCGTAGGCCTCAGCGTTGCCAAAGCCAGAGCCAGAGCCAGAGCCATAGCTGGTTCCGCTCTCGCCAGCTCACTACTAGATAACAGACTTTAGAACGATGTTCCAATTTGGCATTAGCCTCGGCATTTTTTGTCGCCGGGACTAAAGGACCCTTTAGTCCCGGTTCGTAATACCAACCGGGACTAAAGGTCCCTGCCCAATGGTCGTCCGAGTGGCAGGGATCTTTAGTCCCGGCTGGTATTATCAACCGGGACCAGTTGGTAATACCAGCCAGGACTAAAGTTTTTAGTCCCAGTTTGGGTGATATCCCGGGAATAAATATTAATCTTTAGTCCCGGTTTGGCCACCTAACCGGGACTAATTATGCGGGCCTATACAACGGCTCATTTCTTCCTCCCCGAGCCCGAGCCATTCCATTCAAACTCACTGCCTCTGTTCTTCAACTTGCTGTTGTTCTTGCTCTCTCCCCCTCCATTAGTGTTGCTCTTCGATTTTGGAGGTAACAAACTTAATCCTCTTATATTTTATCAGTAGCTTATCTCATTTTGCGATGTAGATGCATGTGTAACTTTATATGTTGGACTTTATTATGATTTTATATGTCATTTTTAGCTCAAAATCACATGATGATTTGCATATATGTTTGGATAAACAAAAGTTAAATTAGTTCGGCTGGAGGGCCTTTAGTCCCGGTTGGTAACACCAACCGGGACTAAAGGTCCCTCTTTAGCCCAAGCTCGATGACCCGGGACTAAAGGTGGCACCTTTAGTCCCGGGATCGTTGTCCCGGCGCGGTAACCGGGACTAAAGGTCGTTACCGCCCGGGACAACAAGTCCATTCTGTAGTAGTGGCTCCACCACCTCCACTGCCTTGGCCATCAGCAGTGGCGTGCTTTACCACCCTAATAGCATTGCACAGTCCAGTGCTTAGCAAGACAATGACGCCAATCGCAAAGAGCTTGCTGGAAGCCATGGTGGTCGAGGTAAGTTAGCTGATGTGGAGTGGAAGTGAAACTGAGATGAATGCTAAGCGTCGGTTTGTATGGTTATTTATAGTCATGAATCTCGGTGGCCATGAACGCATAGCTTGCATCAGTTGACCTTATGCAATTAATAAGAGATTTCAGAAGATTTCGTGCGTGGGTCTCATGGTCCCATTGTTTTTTTGTTCTGCAGGCTCAACTTGGAAGACTAGCTAGCTGATTTATTGTCTGCTCTTTAATTAACTAGTACTAGTACGCTCTCTTCTGAAGTTTTCATTGCTTAAACTTTCAAGGTTATCTGTCAACCTTGTCACCTTGATATGCGAAGTGATGCATGGACAGAGTTTGGTTCACTGTGGAGTTTTATTTACCACCCAAATTAGTAGATAATTAAATGAATATATTATGATCGAGAAAAAAACTGCATATTATGAGGCTTTCTCTATAGAAGATCCATACTAGCCAAAACAAGTAGGGGCTCACACCCCTCCTGTTACATCTAAAAAAACAAGGTTGGATAAATTAACAATCGAAGCCTTGTTTGGATACCCATGTGTTCACCTCAATTCATGTGTGTTGGAGTGGTTTGGTATAGAATTTACGGAAGTTGGTTGGCTCCCCAAACGTGAAGGGTAGCTGGATGCTCCCGAGGGGCACGACATGCATCCCTGGGATGATCCCATAGAAGGACGCCTCGCTCAAGCGAAGACGACACCTAGGGATTTTCATGCGATCTAGTGTGTTGGCGCAGAGGATGTTAATAAGCCCATTGCCACCATCCATGAGTACCCTTTGTGAGGCGGATGCTGCCGACGAGCAGGCTGACGACGAGCAGGAAATGACCCGGGCTAGGCACGTAGTCATGGTAATCATCCCGGCCAAAGGTGATCAGCACCTCAGACTGTCGCAGGTGAGAGTGTGCTGCGGCCTCGAGCGTGCTTACCTCCCGCTCCGTGAGCTTTCACCGCCACCGGCACTCGTGGTCCTGCTCTCTACTGAATATCATGTGGCACCCCTCCCCTTACGGGGTATAGGTGTCGCTTCCTGTTCCACGCTGGAGAGTGGCCTTGGCGGTGCTCGAGGCGATGACACCGCATGGCACCTCTTGGCTCGAAAGCTGCTCCAGTTCAATATGGAGCATCGTGGCAGCATTCCTGATCTCGTATGGGAGATCAAGGAGGGTGTGTTGATGGTCACTAAACACCAATTTTGACTATCAACATTGCATCAAAAGTGATAAATAATCAACATCATGGTGGTTTGTTTTCAAATTGACATGGTTCCACTTGTACTTGGAGATCTTTGCTCATGTAGGAAAATATACAAGAACATCAAAGATCAAGCACTAAAGGCAAGTGAGACAAGACAGGGCCACTAGGGGTATAGCTACGCACTACGCCGTCTGGAGATGATCTGCCTAGAGTCTGAAAGCAGTCTTCAAGAGTCTCTGGTATAGCTCTTGTATCTCTCTTGTTAGACTTTCATCATTTCATTATATTACTTTCTATTCAAGTACTATTTCAAATCTTGTTGCTTTGAGTACTAGTCTTGTTCTCTAGTTATACTTTAGTATTACTAATAACTATCTTGTTTAGTGTGGTCACATCCTACATGGGTTTTACCGCTTAGTTATAGTGCTCTGATCTTATTTCATCGGGATCCAAATCAGAGTAGTGAGTCTATAGATTAAGCATGGTGCTTAGGCTATAGCTTTGCTTGTGTTTACGGCTAGGCCTCCGAATAGTTAGTGGTAGGTGGCAGGTGGTGATAGCCCTGTCCATCCTCTGTATTCCACCATAGTAGGTCTAGTTATTAAATCATAGGGCTTTGTGGCATTTTGTTATTATAAATCCTCTGGGTTGGTTAACCAGATGCACTCTGAAATGCATGTGAATCCCTCTGTTCTTGGTTTATTTGTATCACTATAGTCCCTAGCTAGAGTTGTGCTTGATTAGAAGTAACTTAGGATTCTTGTGCTCCTACACTTATTGTCCATCCACTTAGTTACACTTTCACTTTATCATCCTAGAGTGGAACTTCTATGTGCCACCCTATCTTATTAGATACCACTTACACCTACTTTGGTTTAGTCGGTATACTAGTTAGTAGATACATCATGGCTAGCTATCATCTTCTTTAGTAGGTGGATCCTTAGATCACCACTTCACTGAGTAGATGGTAGATCACCATCTACTAAGTGAAGGGGTGATTAAGGATCCACCTCAATGGGGACGTAGGTTGCCTCGGGAAAAATCTTTGTGTCACTTTCCCGACTCATTGGTTCGCTCTCTCAACACTTGCATTTGCTTTTTATATCTTGTGCTTGTGTTGTTGTAGTTTACTCTAGTGAGCATTGTAGTTTAGTTGTTCTCTTTGTTAGCTCTCTAGTTGTTAGGTGGTAGTTCTAGTTGCTTGCTTGTTTGAGTGCTTAATAACTTGCAACTAGACTTGTGTAGTGGGCTTGCTTTGTATTGACTAGCCTAGGCAAGTAGTGTCTATTAGGGTTGCCTCCTTCACTAACAATCTTTGCCTAGTGTTTTGAGTTTGTAGAAAATTTTATTAGGCTATTCACCCCCTTCTAGCCATCCATAGATCCTTTTAAGGGTGACCGTGTGAAAGGTCCTAATGGCTAGAGGGGGGTGAATAGCCTATAAAAATTTTTACAACAACACTAAGCAAAGTGGTTAGACAAATATGAGGTGAAGCAATTCTTGCGCTAGCCTACTAAAAATGCAAGCAACCTACCACAATTTTAGTTACTATAGTTTCTAAGCACACAATGCTAGGTTACTACCACTGAGTTAGTGAGCTCTCAAAGACTAACTAAAGAGCCTCACTAACCACTAGACCCGACGCAAGCTAGCTCTCAAAACTAATTACACTAAAGAGCTTAGCAACACTAGGAAAGTAAATGCAAGGGTGAGGTAGTGAGGTTATACCGACATGACAAGCGATGATCAATCAATCAATCACAAGAGAACCAATGAAATCCTCGGGATAAGATGACACAATGATTTATCCCCGAGGTTCACTTGCTTGCTGAAAAGCTACGTCCTCGTTGTAGCGATTCACCCACTTGGAAGTTCACGCGCTAATAGGCATCACACGCCTAACACGCAATCGGGTGCTGCACAACCAACACAAGATGGGGATCCACAAGCTACGAGCAATCCACTAGAGTACCTGTTGGCTCTCCGCAGGGGAAAGGTCAAGAACCCCTTACAATCACCACGACCGGAGCTAGGACAATCACCTTCCTCTGCTCGACGATCCTCGCTGCACCAAGCCGTCTAGATGGCAGTAACCACCAAGAGAAACAAGCAAAATCCGCAGCGAAACACAATCACCAAGTGCCTCTAGATGCAATCACTCAAGCAATGCATTTGGATTCACTCCCAATCTCACAAAGATGATGAATATATGATGAAGATGAGTGGGAGGGCTTTGACTAAGCTCACAAGGTTGCTATGTCAATATAAATGGCCAAGAGAGTGAACTAGAGCCGGCTAACCACCTTATATAAGCGTCCCCTCAAAATAGAGTTGTTGGCTCTCTGTTTGGACAGAGATCGACACTACCGGACACGCCAGTCAATGTGACCGGACGCACCACCTTCAGTGTCCAGTCGCTGATCTACTGCCATGCGTCCAAGAGATTCAACCGGTGTCGTTTATCTGCAACGGCTAGTTAGCCACGCGCACAACACTTAAGTGATGATCGAACACGCCGGTACGACGACCGGACGCGCCGATGTTGTGCTAGCCCGCGTGCGCGCCCGCGCCACCAAGCACTGGACAAACGCGCCGCTCCCTACGGCTTCCTAGCGTCAGATTATTTCCAATAAGCATCCAGAGCCGGATTTTCTTGATCGGACGCATTAGATCAACAGCGACCGGACGCACGGCAGCGTCCAATCCTTCCTTCTCCTCTGCGCACCAAGTTTCACGCCTGACGTCAGCGTATGTCACCTGTGACCGGACGCAGGCCTTGCGCGTCCGGTCACAAACACTGTTCAGCCTCCGGTCGCTTGGCCAGCCCGAGCCCAAGCACGCCAACTCCTCCATAATTGACCGGACGCTCAAACACCAAGTCTTGTCACTTCGAAAGCTGCGTCCGGTCACTGAAAATCAGTGCTTCACTTCACCAACTTCGTCACCCTTGATCAAATGTGCTAACCACCAAGTGTTTCACCTTGTGCATGTGTGTTAGCATATTTTCACAAATATTTTCAAGTGTGTTAGCTCTCCGCTAGATCTAAATGCATATGCAATGAGTTAGACCATCTAGTGGCAAGGATGGCATCCAGTTCTGAACCTTTTCATTCTTGGTTTGACCAAGCTCCAGAATGGCTTAGGTAGTTGGCAATCAGGGTGTGATTTAATAAAGCTCTCGAGAATATCACTACAAAATGATACAACGTGTTATTATTATATATGAATCGTTCAATCCAACAATTGTTCCAACAAATTGGAGATTATATTGACATTTGTCACCATATTTCGGTAATACGGATGACTTCAATTGTGCTTGGCAAAAGAGGGATCAAGATATTCTTAATGTTGTTTCACTCATATCTTTGACAAAGACTCAACTTGAACTATAGCGCAAGGATGGTGGATACGAGAGATTTCTTGCTGATGTCACTTCTCTTTGTTTGAAGCACATAGTAAATGTTTCCTCTATATATGGTATATCCAAGTCAGTTGGGAGATCAAAGAGGTGCTATGTCAAAGTCACATATCATCATCATTTCATAGTTCACATGTTTTTTTGAAGAGATAGTTCACATGTTTTTTAGTTTCAAGGATAGGCATAATAAAGAGTGCAATAATAGGTTTCATGAAGTGAACGCTTATTTGCTTTTCTTTAAATGTCCTCATTCAATCCCAATGATTCATATTTGCTTATTTCCACAAGTAGAACTTGGTAAAACTTGCTAATTGTTATTTCAAAGACTTCTCAATCACTGACAAAATGTGTGTAGTCTTGC